TCTTGCGATCCGAGAGGCACAAACACACTACACACTACACACAGGCACAAAGCTCGAGACCCTACCCCCATATGTGCCCTGTTCCCCTAGCAACCCCCTGCCAGCCGCAGTCCATATCGTTCCAAATATTTTTCATATAAAAAATCGCATTTTTTTCCCTCGCTCGCATAATAAAACTTTTTCTGCATGCTTTTCATTTCATTTCCTTCGAGATGCCGGGGTTGCTGAGGGTCCAGTGGTCCGCGGGGAAGGGGGGCGGTCGGCAGACAGCAGCGCACTTGGCCGCCGCACAAAGGAAGATCACGGCGCAAGGACTTGTCTGCATTCAAATGGATGGTAGGTAGAGGTAGGTACTCACACTCGTCCTTAGCCTCGTCCTCGAATGTACCTGAACCTCTCTCGCAAAAGGATGGACAATGTCCAGGGCCCGAAACTTATTGAGCCACGCTGATATTTCAGTTTCGCTTTGTTTTTTTTCGCTCTTCGCTCAGGCTCGGCTTTTTATCGCCGGTGGTTGCTCATGTTTTTGCTGCTTCACTCTCGGAATCAGCGAGCATTAATTGAGGAGTAAGAAAGCAAAAGTTTTCGAAATTCTAGAAAGTCTTAGGGGTTAAGCCTGAAGGCAAACTATGTGGGTGCAGGGGTTAATTTTTAAAAGTTAAACTTTTAAAAGGGCTCATTTTAAGTTATTAATGATTGCCATTACATTCTCAAAATATCGAAATAATTTTTATAATAATTTATAGAAATTTAATACTTTGGAAGCATTACTATTTAAATAAAAATCTATTTAAATGTGGTTGCTTAAATAAAATTAAAATACATCTGAAGGACCTTTAAAATTTGGATTCTAAAAATCAATTTAAACGTGGGTGCTTAAATAATATTAAACTAAATCTGAAGGACCTTTAACATTTGGATTCTAAAACTGACTTAAATATGGTGTTTTCCCATAAAAGAGAAGGCCATTAAAAAATGTAATCATTAATAACTAAACTAAATGAATAAATTTAAATAATACAATTTAATAAATTTGTATTTTTTGGAGATTTAAGTTCGCTTACAGGATAAGTTCTTTTGAAACTTTAACCGTTGTAAGAAGTATTATTTTAGTAGCTTAGTTGTTATTATGACTATTTAATGAAGTTATGGCATCTAACAAGGATTACGTTAGTGGATATTCTAAATTAAAAAAACAAAATTAAGTCGAATGTCAATTCAAAAAGAGTTTTTCAGATTCTAGTCACCGTTGCAAAACGATGTTTACCCAAAGTCTTAAATGGCAGGCCAGAAACGGGGACAGGAAGTGGATGATGACCAGCCGCAGCGAGGACATCGCAGGAGGAGGACAACGAACGAAAAAAAACGAGCCATGAAGGAAGGAAACTCAATGCGACATTTGCATTTTTAATGCAGACCCACATATAAAACTAAGTTTTTTATGAGTTGATTTTGATTTGCGTACTTCTTTTTATATCTTTTTTTTTGCATTTGACCAGCGACTGGTTCGTATCGTCTAATTTTTTTAGCTCGCCGCTTCCTTTTTTTTCTTAGCGCTGCGAGAGGCGGTCGCTTGACCATCGTGTCTCCTGCTTTGGCCATTGTCTGTGCCACGGTGTCACCTTCGAGCGGCCAGCAGGACGAGCAGGATCAAGGGGATCGAGGGGATAAAAAAATGGGAAACGGGGGAGGGGGGCGAGGGAGCAATAGCCAGAGAGCTGACCACGCAGACAAGACAAAAAGCTAAGCAGAAAAGCACACAACGGGAGGAGCGCAGTATCCTTTTGTGATATATGAGTAAGTTGTACCTGAAGGATATGCGCTGAGCCTTTGAGCACACACAAACTGGAGGCAAGCTGCACCACCACCATCGCACACACTATCATCTTTATACGACTGTGGCTCGGAGTTTATCATTCGATATCGAGCACAGCGTGATTATATTGTGGATGAATGAGGATGGGTATGAGGATGAGGATGCGGATGAGTATGATGACCGCACCCGTGGCCTGGACACCCTGAAATCCTGCAGAGAGTGAGAGAGAGAGCGAGCGAGGAGCACCCCTCGATGATCTTCTCGGGTCGTGGTCTTTGTTTTTATGGCCCTGGCTGGTGGGAAAATTTATCTAAATTGTCGATGGCGTTCTTTTTTTTTGCATTTGATTCTTTTGCAAAAAGGATTTCTCTTTCTTTCGTTTTTTTGTCATATTGTGGAATGTTTTGTCGTCACTTTTGGAATGAAGCAGCCACAGCGAAGGAATAAAAAAACGGCAGAATGATGGCCAAAGTCCATAAATTAAGCCCGAGGCAGGGACAGAAGGGCAACGCATCTGACAGCGGCCAGGATCGATGCGAGGAAGTAGAACAAAAAGCTGGCAATTGGATGAAGGTGTTAAAATATAATGCGCCCTTGTTCCGCATCCTGCCAAGGACCCTTCGATTCGATTCGAGGCGATTGCCGAGGCAACGCTCTGATGTGCAAGAATAAACAGAAGGCGAATTTCCAAAACATTTTTCCAATTAGCTGTCAAAAGGAAAACACCGGCCACTTGACGTCGTCGGCGGGAAAATCAACAAACTGTGGAAAATTGCTGAAGGATGAGGTGCTGTGACACGCAACCTGCAAAAGGGGTTGGCAATTATTTTTAACGAACGCGCCAAGTGGGTGGCAAGAGGTCCTGGGTCAATGTTCGCCATCGCCATCGCCATCGCACATCGCGCATACGCCCCGTCTACCCTCGCCGATTTCTGGGTCAGTGCGATCTCAGACCACCGGATCGCGGGGAAGATTAAGATCCATCGAAAGTAAAACAAGACCCAGCTGACGCGGCATAAATCTGGGCAACTGCAACCGCAATCGCAGCTGCAACGATTCTCGACGTCCACGCAATCAACGCATTAAATCAATTTTAACTTGGCCTACTTTTGCCTTTCGCCGTTGCATGGGGCGAGTTCTTCTCACCGCGCTTTTTTTTCTAAAACAAAGGCACAATTGCCGACCCTTGCAACGAGCAATGCATTGCAGCACAGCAGCAATATCGTAGCAGTAGCAGCAACATCACAACAGCAACAGCCGTGCAGCTTGCACATGGCACAGCCTGGGAAACCGGGAAGATGCAGGCAAGGATTCGGAGAGAGATCCCCCTTCGGTGGAGGAGGGAGGAGGTCCCTGGTCCATTGAAATGCAATCTGCGCACACATGGTGACGACAACAGCGCTTTTAGTTCGCCTGCTTCTTGTGTATTCACGGATATTTTGAACGTGGTTAAAGTGCAAGAACGCGTTTTTTGTCGCTGCCAAATAAATACAAATTGTTTCACCTACATTTCCCAGCAAGGTGCAACTACCTTTATGAATCACGTAGCACTTGCTTTGAGTTTGCTTTTAGACAGTATATCCACATTTAAGTAAAATAAACATTTTTATTGAGTTTATGCAGAAATAAAATGCATTTTTTAAATAACTGACAAGTAATATATTTATTTTCCATTATCCAGAGAACATGTTCATTTTAGTCAGCAATTTCCCTCATAAAATGACACATTTTTGACCTTATAAAGTACATTTAAGCTTTAAAGCTAACTGGATGAAAATGTTCTAAAATAGTATAAAAACTTCGGGAAGTCCAAGTTTGACCACATTACATATATAAAAAATAAATATTGAAAAACCCAATTATTTAAATGAAATGTTTTAACCTAATATTTATTTTAAGTCTATCTTAAAGTTTATGAGCCATTTTCGTCTGAAAAAAAGGCCTCTGAATGAAGCGAAAACTGCAGACCGGAGGATATCAGCATCGACATCCGAGCGTTGCCTATGCAGTCCTTTTTACCATAACCAAAGCCCCCCCTCCCCTCTCTTACAGAACCGCTTGGCCCTGCAAGATATTACATGGCTATTTACTTAACCCATTAATTCCGCAGTCGAAAAAATGACGTTGCGAGGTGCTGACATGGCAAAGGGCTAACCAGAAACGGTGGCGCAACCAGGAGAGGTTGGCCAGAACACATGCAGCCGGCAAATATGCGAAACGTGGCGCGAAGAGCATGCTCAAGTGCTATGTACTTGCATTTGCATTATGTAAACGCACTGGGGCCCAGGCCATCCTACCATCCAACCAAACTTATTACACAGAAAATAACCATCTCAATATTCCTTCTTGGCAAATGGGAAATAATTGAGTTCACACATATTACAGTATATATTTAAGATTTTATTTATATACATTTTATCCTACTATTTAACTAAATGACAAAAAATGAAGTTTAGGCAACATCCTCTGCAGATTTGTTTCAAATTAATTTCACTTTAAAAATGAAATAAAAAATAATATAATTAAAATACATTTTAAAATTGGCTATCCTATGGAATTGATATATTTATTTTTCCGTGTGTACCATCCAACCGAAGTGAGTCAGGCAGCCTGCCAAGTGAAGTGGGCATGTGGTTTACATAAGTTGGGACTGGGACTGATACCCGGACTTATATCGGGATAGGGACTGGACCTACACCAACAAATGTGTGGGCCTGGGCAAAGGCAAAAGCTGGCTGAAAATGAAAGGAGTGCAAGGAACTCGGGGCCGGCGGCTCAAACTAATGGAGAGCAACTGCTTTCAGGCGCTTTATGTAACCGTAGACATTCGTGTAATTCAAGCAGGCCACGGCATCAGCGTGTAATGCGAGATCCAGATGGGCAGGACTGCCAATATAAACAGCATGGCCATTGAAGTGCCCATCAGAGACTAGTCAGCTTTTCTGCCTGTTTTTCTTAAACAGCTGGACAGATAAAATAAATAAATGATAAAAATAATATAAGAAAACAAGTTCCTTAAGCTTTGCTAACATCTGACATGAAAACCTGGTTAGTAATTAAAGTTTCATGTACAAGATTATACTTTTTTACTTGTTTAATTTAGATTTATATTTTCTGAAACCCCGCAAAATTTGTATTTAAGATAGGGATTAATTTAATTAATATATAACTATATATCACTTACCCGTTGCATGAGGTCCCAATGGGCTTGCTAATGAGGAGTACATTTCCGGGCTGAAGGTCCGATATGAATCCCGGCCCAGGTTGTGGGAAACTGCAAGAAAAAAATCAAAGGAAATAATTAAATTTATTAGCATAAGAAAAATTCTGCGAAATATAGATTAGTATAGGCAGTTATCAGATACCGATAAGGGATCTTATCGCTGCCATTAAACATGAACGCAATGGTAGCTTCATTTCAGTACGAAAAAGTATTTCAAGCTGATTGAACATATAGTTTAAGATGGCTGAAAAGGTGGATTTCGCGGAACTGCAGCTGAGTGAAGTAAGTTTTAATTGGAATTTTATTCAGGATAATAACTAACCATCTCTGTTGTTCAGAGAATTGGAGTTGGAGCCGGTGGTGCGGTTCGAAAGGCCACTTGGAAGGACCAGGAAATCGCGGTGAAGGTGTCTGAGCTTTTAACTGAGTCACTTAAGAAAAACGCAGAAAGGGAAATCACACACTTGACGAATATTGACCACGAAAATGTTATCAGGGTTTTTGGCTCAGCCATCGATGACGTCAATAATACCAACTACATTCTTATGGAGTACATGGAGGGAGGGTCTCTTTACGATTTTCTATACGACGATAATCAGAGGGAGTTCACTATGGAGCAGGCCGTTCGTTGGGCTTACCAATGCGCCAAGGTAAGCAATGGTGTCGTTTTCGCTTTTTAATATAAGGGCATATGGCAAGAGCAAAGATTTCAAAAATAAAATAAATGTTTCTTGATTTTTTAAGCTTAAAAAGTAAGCACACTCATAATGTAATTTAATTATTTGTAGGGCCTTGCCCACATGCATGCAATGGAACGAGCGGTTTTGCATCGTGATGTGAAGCCGCAGAACTTGCTACTGACTGAACAGTTTGATCAACTGAAGATTTGCGATTTCGGCTTGGCAACGGATATGTCCAATAATATGTCAGATATGAGAGGCACAGCGAGGTATATGGCCCCAGAGGTGCGTGGAACGAATTGGGTTGTCAATATAATGACTAACCACTTCTCTAACTACAGGTGTTTAAGAACAAGGAGTACACGGATAAGGGCGATGTGTACAGCACTGGAATAGTTATCTGGGAGATAATGTCACGCCAAAGGCCCTATTTTCACTTGGAGAATCCAGACAATGAATACGCAATTTTTTCAGCTGTTGCAAAAGGTAAGTAATATTTACAAAAGAGTACATTTTTAAAAATTTAAATTACATTTTTATAACAAAAACCTTACCAATTAAAAATGTTGTGTAACAAAACTACACATACTATTAAAATTAGTTTGTTAAAATTTATTATAATAATTTCACCAGGCGAACGTCCCCGAATGGATGCATTGAGATCCGATTGCTGGGAAGGCATCAAGAAATTGATAGAATGTTGTTTGGACGAAGATCCCAGTCGCCGGCCCTCCATGAAGCGTGTGGAGGAGTACCTCGGCGAACTGTGCGCCGGCGAGAACTGCGAGGACTTCATCCAGATGGATGCATCGAGATCCGATTGCTGGGAAGGCATCAAGCAATTGGTAGAATGTTGCCTGGACGAAGATCCCAGTCGCAGGCCTTCCATGAAGCTGGTGGAGGAGTATCTGGGCGAACTGTGCGCCGGCGAGAACTACGAGGACTTCATCCAGGTCCTGGGCGATGACTCTGTTGCCGTGGTGACCTTTGTCAAGGATCCGTCCAGCAATCGTAACCTTATGCGCGTTGATTTCCGGCGTCGGCAGACGCGCACGGCCCGTATGATCTTTCCGATTGTGCAACGGGAAATGGATAGATTGGGCAAGGTCGTTGCTCGCGAAACGGTGAGAGCGGCCCACGATGGTGAGCGGGAAGTCCGTCGGGCGGAGAATGACACCGAGCGGGAGGTCTCCAGGGCTGCCCACGATGGCGAGCGGGAGACGCGTAGGGCGGTCCAGGATGTGGGTCGCGAAACTAAACGGGCGTTCAACAAAACGAAAAAGAAGCTGGGCTTCTAAGCAGAAATATGATTATTAATTTGTTATGCTAATGTGCGGGGAATGATTAATAAAGCCGACTGCATGCAGAGAGTCCTTCCACAGCAACCCTTTTGCAACGGCCGATGCTGATGCCGATGCAAATGCAAACTGCAAGGGGTAGGCCTATGAAAAGCTTAGACTGCATTAAGCACGATGGATAAGGAGTACGGAAAGGTAGGGATGTGAAGGATGTGATGTGATGTGAACAACAGCAAGGATGACGGCTATAAGGACGATGACGGCGACGTCGACGGCGGACATGACAGCGACGTCGAGGGGTGGAGTACAGTATGTACCAAGCGGTGCATTGCTGCTCCTGGCACAGCGCGACTCCTTGGCGTTTTTTGCATTGTTTCTCTCTTCCCATACATGCCACATACGCCTTTTGGTTGTGTGTGTGTGTGTGTGACCGGAAACTGCCATTTAAAGTGCATTTTGGAGAGTCGCTCAGTCAGAAGAGAAACGGAGCGAGCTTCACTTGTGTGCTAAGTGAAAAGAAGAACTCTGTGTAGTCGTCGAGGTCTCCCCTCCACATTCCCCATTTTTTCCATGCTTGTCGTTTGGTTTTTAAGCCCCTCGCTGTTGTTTTTGCATGCAAGCAGCGGCAGAGCTCCTTTTCTCGAGCCCCTTTAAGAAAGCCTCCTCCCCCCTTCCCTCCTCGGTCACCGCCAACACTTGTAATCCAACTCCTTTTAATTACATTCAATACCCCGTCCACAAATGTCGTCGTGTTGTCGTCCGTCTGCTCCAAGGTGTTGGCAGCCAGGTTTTGTTTTATTTTGTTTTCGCCCCTGCCTCGCTCCATCTTTAATAACCTTCTGTCCAAATATCGATTTTCAGGTGCAGCAGATCCCAGAGCCTTCCCAATCGCCAGCCATTGTAAGCTCAACGAGGTGTTAAAACATTTAGTAAGAGATTGCTGCAGAGGTTGTGGGTAAGAACGCAATGCAATCAAGTGTCACTAATCTCGATCGGGAGATCATATTTGCATAAACTGCACTGAGGTTCCCTGCACAAAGCTGCAATCTGCAGATACTGCAGTTCCCCACTGCAGTAAGTTGAGAAGCGATTGGATAGAAAGGGATGGATAAGAATAAGCTAAAGATTAAGTAGACCCTACTGATGATAATCAAAAAGTTAATATAAGCAGAAATTCTTTAAGCCCGTAATTAAGTGTTTGTCCCACCAATCTTCGATTGGGTAAAATAATTAGGAATAATTAACTACCTTCATTTAACGTATATTTCTGAGGTTAAAAATTCGACCAATTTTAATTTTTGTAATAACAGCCCAATAAACTATTGCATGCAATAACTTAAAGATTAGTTATCTGGAAAAATAAAATCTTCTTTGACTGCCGGAGCAATCTACATTACGGTCTAGAAAAGATAAAAATATTTATAGTCTTAGCACAGATGTAGAATTTTTACCGATTCCTGGTTTTCCGCCTCGTATCTTTTAACCACATTTAGTCAAACCCTTTATATCAAAGAGCCGCATATAAGTATACGTATCAGAGAGCGAGCGAGCTGCTAGGAAACCTATTCATTATCCTTCCCATTAAATTGCCGTTTCCGCCCCCTGCATCCCGCCCACGTTTAATCCCTGGACAAAAACAAAGGGAACTTTAAACGTTCACGCTTGGCTTGGTCTCGAGAATCGCTCTGGGCCCCCTACTTGAGCCATTTGCCGGCAGACAGGCCAACCAGCGTTTTCAGAGGAATAGGTCAGTACGGCCGAGTGAGTATTTTCGAGTGCATGCGAGTGTGCGAGTGTGCCACCGTGTGTTGTGTGTTATATGTTGTGCGAGTGCATTCTAAGTTTCAAGTGTACATGTCGTAATAATTTGCGAGCTGAAACAAAGGCGGAATGGGAACGCGTCGGGCAGCACATGCTGCAACTATGGATAAGTGCCGCAGGACCTGGCAGTACATTATGTATAATGAGACCGCTCGCCCGTTCCACTCTGAACCCCTCCCTTCCCGCATGACCGCGATGCAGTTGGCCTCACACCGCAGCGGGGTCAATGACAGCCCAGAAGGTCAAACACACGCACACACTCGGAGAAAAACTAGAGTGGCAGCAGTTCAATAAATAGCTCTTTGTGCGAATAACACAATCACGGTGTTAATTTAGTCTAGGCGTTATAAAAGAAAACTGTGAGCAGTTTAATATTAAGCGAAATTTTTATCCAAACCGGAAATCGGGGTCACCAAAACAAACGACATTTCAATGCTACAGAATAAAAAAATAAGGGGGTCACCGAAATATCAATAATTTAGGATGTCTCTCGCTAAAATGCTAAAATAATCAGAAATAAGTTAGCTTTATTTGGCATATACTTCTAGAGCTCAAAGCTCAGAAATTGGAGGATTAATTTACCAATAGGTGTTAAAAAAAAAAAGAAAAATTGTGAGAAGACCAAATGTTTCATTTTACGGCCAAAACAACAACTTTATATACCTGCAAATGGTATAATTGGTCACATGGGATAAATCACAAATATGAAGTGGTCAAAACTGCAAACTTTAAGCCATAACTCACTAATTCAACCAGGCTCTTCTGGTGAACAAGAATTATGGGGCAGTGTTTAATTTTTCTCCTCGTGCAGGCAACTAGAAAAAGCGCAAAAGATGTATGGGGAATGCGGCAGGATATAGCAGATGAACGGCTTCGATTTCACACGCAGCGCAGAGGTCAAACTTTGAGCGGGACCAGTGATTAATGTCCCCCAAACTCTGCCACAGCTGCTGCATAATGTATCTCCTAGATAAATCTCAATCCCACAACGAACCCCGCCCCGCTGCCCTCCCAAAAAAAAGGCTGGGGCAGCTGACGAAATGTACGCTCAACTTCCGCTGCAAGTTTCGCCTTTTCGCATTGCTGTACTCGCGAATCTGAATCCGATTCAGGATCTGAAGCCGAGGCTGACCAGAGAGTAGGAAATCTTTTGTAATCGTGCGATAACCCCGGCGAGTGCAGAACTTGAAACTCAACCCTTAAGCGGGGCCTGGAACAATGCCAGCAGCAATGCAATTGCATGTCCAGCCTAGCAGGATGCCAGGCAGTCGGATCCAGGCAGGTCCTTGCCGGCAATTAGAACGCAAGCGATTGCCCTGGCCGAGGCTTCCCATTTTTGTTTTGTTTATTTACATACACATATCGGAATGGCATTATAATGCGAATAATGGCGCAGGGATTCAGCGGTTCCTGCGATGCACATTCTGCACTCCTTTTGTGATCGAAAGGAGCAGGAGGAGCGTCCTCCCTTTTCTGCGGCCAGGCCGTATCTTTTGTGCCGGTCAATATGCCGCGTGGGGATGCAATGACCGACAGAGGACATCGAACGAGGACCAATTCAAAATGCATAACGAGCCGCAAAAAGGAGCGAGCGAAGCAATTTGCATTGTGCCATCGCAGCGGCAGGAAGCCGGATAGGCCACAGATGAAATTAATACGCATAAATTACATGGCGGATAAGCGATGGGCAGCCATGGGAAAAACCCTGGCCCAGCCATCGATGATGAGAGCCTGCCTCCAACTGGGCAGTCCTCCTGCAAAAGACACCTCAAGCCCCGTAATGATCATCGCTGCTTTTCAAGTAGTCTATAGCCAGCCCTAATTAAAAGTCTCCGCTTTCAGATCCAAACATTTTCCAAATAGGACAAACGGCACAAGTTCGTGCACAATGCTAAAAGTTTGAGATGGTATTTATAGCAGATGGACTGGAAAAAATGATTATATTTATTATATATTTATATTATTTTAAAAATATACAGAAAACTAAAAATAGAAAGAATAGACACATACAAAAATTCTAAATTAAGTAAAATTTTTAGCTGTATGTTATTTTGTTTAAACCAAAACTATAGTAATTCCAATCTCAACTAACATCGAATGAAAAAACTAACCTTCATTTCATAATATTGATTTAGATAATGGTAAAAGGATAATGTTTAATAGATATTTTTTGTCGCAATGTAAAGGCTAGGAAAATGTTGCCACTTAGGGCTTTGCAGCAGGTAACGTGAAAACTGTTTGCCAACTGAGGCACAGGAAGGCGACTGGATAGAACAGGATAGAACAGGATAGAGCCGTCTAGAGCGGGGAATCGAGGCGGAAGGGGCCAGGACACCAGCGACTGCAATTTGCTGAGACTTCAGGAACTGAAGGAACCGACCGAGGTCGACGCTGCTTGTCGGCCATTCCTTTTCCGGTTGTGCTTGGCAACTTTTGCTATTGTCGTAGGTCCTCGAAACGGGAGCAGGACAAGTCAAAGAACCAACAGCCGTCTGGCTAGGCCACTTGCCTCGCAGCTAGCCAAAGGAACCTGCCGCAGGACCCTGACGGCACACACGCCATATGCGGAGAAGGACAACAATTGAATTACAAAATTATTTGCTGCTGCTGTCGTCGTCTTCGTCGTCCTGTTCGTCCTCGTCCTCGTCCTCCGACTGACAGAACTAGTTGTAGTCAGGACGGCCAGACAGGATCGGAGGGGGAAGGGCGAGGGCTTCTCAAGTGCCTCTCGGCCGGGGCTGAGGACATGTTTTCTAAAACGGAAATTAGGTGACAGGACGAGCCGAACAAGCGGGCTTTTGGTTCTTGTCGACATCGTCTTGGGTCAACTTTAATTGCCGCTTTGTTCGGGTTTGCACACTCGGAAAAATAGTAATGACAATTTTTTTTTTGTCCTTTGAAAAATTATAAAACCCACTACCTTTACTTTGATTTCGGAAAAATAGTATTAAATTTATTTTTTACCTTTGAAAAATTATAAAACAATATCTTATTTTTCATTATAGACAGTTGAAAAATACCACCTTGAATATAATATAATTTTTAACGATTTCTAAATAAATCTTTATTTTATAGCTTTTTCAATTAAATAAGATTGGCTACAAAATTCGCTTAGGTATTTTAACAATGTTAAATAAATAATTTTATCAAATCATTTAAAAATAGCGCATGTTGCCGAAAAAAATA